GGTTTATATATAGCATAGATTTGAAACTCATTTTTGAGTTAACACAGAGACTGTAAAAAACAGCAATTAAAAATTGAGTGGGTGATGATTTAGGAACCATGTGTTATAAAATCATCTATACACAACAAGAGGACAAGAAACACTGCATTATGAATGTTTGTTGCTATGCTACTATGATTGTTCTTTTCCTTTCTTGATACATCCACAGGTAAAGGCTCTTACAACCGAAGTCACTAGGTTAGGCATAGCTGAGAAGGAGTTAGAAGACTTATTCTCTGAAGTACCTGTGTATCAATGCACACAGAATGGTGAATAAACAGGATGAATTAGAGATCTGTGTGCGCTTGCAGGACCATGATCTCACTGAGATCACACAGACACGGTAGGACATGTATTACTGGAATGCTGTCATGGATGGTAACGTACCTTTTAGGAAAGACAAATCAGCAAGGCATGGTGATGGACTTACTCTTTTTGTGAGAGAGCAAGTGGAATGTACCAAGCTACACCTAGAAATGAATGGTGATTGAGTAGAGAGCTCATGGGTGAGAATTAAAGGACAGACTAATACAGGTGACACTATTCTGTGTGTTTACTACAGGCTGCCTGATCAGGAAGAGGCTACAGACAGCTCGAAGTAGCCTCACAATCCAGGACTTGGTTCTCATGAGGGACTTCAGTCATGCTGGTATTTGCTGGAAAAGCAACACTACCAGGCTGGCGTAGTTCAGGAAGTTCCCGCACTGCATAGATGATAATCTTCTGAGCCAGGTAGTGGAGGAGCCAATAAGGAGAGGCGTGCTGTTGGATCTTGATCTTACAGACAAGAAGGACTGGCTGGGAATGTGAAGGGGCTGTCATGGATGCAACGACTACGAGATCATGGAGCTCTGGATCTTACACAGAAGAAACAAGGCTATTAGTAGGAAGATCCTAGTCTTCAAGTCTGCTAACTTCGATCTCTTCAAGGACCTACCAAAAGGTATCCAGCAGGTATCGGAAGGTAAGAGGGCCAAAGAGAGATGGTTGACATTCAAGCAACACTTCTTTTGAACACAAGATTGATGCATTCCCAAGTGAAATGAAACCAATCTAAGGTAACAGAAGACCCATATGGATAAGCAAAGAGTTCACTGAAAAACCCAAATGGAAGAAGAAAGTCTACAGAATGTAGAAAAGAACTGGTCGCATGTGAGGAATGTAGCAACACTGTCACAGCACACAGGGATGCAAGGAGGAAGACTAAGGCATACTTGGAATTAAATCCAGCAAGGGAGGACAGGGACAACAAGAAAGACTAATCTACCTGTGTCAGTAGCAAAAGGAAGACTGGGGGAAACGCAGGCCTGCTGCTAAATGAGGTAGATGTCCTGGTAACAAGGAGACTATGGGGGAGATACTGAATGACTTCTTTTCTTCACTCTTTAATGCTAAGATTGCCCCTCAGAAATCTCAGATTCCAGAGGTAAGAGCGTCTGCAAAAGGGAACGCTTCCCCTTGGAGAAGGAAGACCTGATCAGAGATCATCTTGGCAAACCTGCTGCACACAAATCCACGTGCATGCTCAAGAGCACGCATCTATGAATGCTAATGGAGCCGAGGGAAGAGATTGTCAAACCACACTCTATCACCTTTGAAACATCATAGACAACAGGAGAGGTGCCTGAGAACTAGAGGAAAGCCAGTGTCACTCCAATCTTCAAAAACAGCAAGAAGGAGAAAGTGAGAAACTACAGGCCAGTCAGCCTCACCTCTGTCCCTTACAACAGCTTATTCCAGATGTCGTCTCAAAGCAAGTAGAAGAAAAGGAAGTTATCAGTATTAGTCAGTGTAGAATCACCAAGAGGAGACCACACTTGGCCAATGAGGTAGCCTTCTAGGATATCATGACCAGCTGGGTATATAAGGGAAGCTCAGTGGATGTTGTCTACCTTGACTTCAGCAATGCTTTCAATATTGCCTCCTATAACATTCTCAAAGGTAAGCTTAGAAGCATAGCATAAATCAGTGAACGGTGAGGTGGACTGAGAACTGGCCGAGCAGCAGTGAAAGTTGTGATAAATGGCGCAGATTCTATTTGGAGAGCGGTGCTTCCCAGGGATACGTACTGGATCCAATCTTGTTCAACATCTTCATCAATGACATGGATTAAATTATACAGTTCACCCTTAGTGAGTTTGCTGATGATACAAAGCTTGGAGTGGCTGACACACCAAAAGGCAGTGCTGCTATTCAGCAAGACTTGGACAGACTGTAGAGCTGGGCTAAAAGGAACCTGATGAAGTGCAACAAGCAAAAATGTAAAGTCCTAGACATGGGGAGGCAAAACTGCCTGAATCAGTACAGGTTAGGGGCTAACCTGTTGGAGGGAAGCTCTACAGAGAAGGACGTAGGTGTCCTGTTGGACAACAGGTTGGCCATGAGCCATCACTGTGCATCACTCTTGTGGCCAGGAAGACCAATGGTACCGTGGGGTGCATTAAAAAGAATGTGGCCAGCAGGCTGAGGAAGGCTATTAGAGAGATCCCTCTATAATCTGCTCTGGTGAGGTCACATCCAGAGTACTTTGACTAGTTCCAGGCTCTTCAGTTCAAGAAAGACAGGTCATTTCTAACCAAAGTCCAGTGGAGAGCCACAAAGATTAGGAGCCTGGAAACTCTTCAGTACGAGGAAAGGCTGAGAGACATGTTCAACCTGGAGAAGGCTGACGGAGAATTTTATCCATGCTTATTAATACTTGATGGGTGGGAGCCAAGTGAATGAGGCCAGGCTCTTCTTAACAGTGCCCAGTGACAGGACAAGGGGCAACGGACACACACTTGAATACAGGAAGTTCCATACAAACATAAGGAAAAACTTCTTTATTTTGGGAGTGACAGAGCAATGCAACAAGATGCCCACAGAAATTGTAGAGTCTCCTTCTCTGTAGATATTCAGAACCAACTTGGATGCTTTCCTGTGTAATCTACTGTAGGAAACCTGCTTTAGCAGAGAAGAAGAGTTAGATGATCACCAGAAATCCCTTCCAAACCCTACAATTCTGTGACATCAATCAACCTTTTAGTATTTAAACAGAAGTTAATAACAGACTTGCTTTAATCACAGTTACCATGGGGCAAGTATACAGCAGTAAGTCTACCACTATGTTTAGTTCTAACTCATCCATGGAAAGAAATGAGAGAATCGCAGAGTAATGCATTGGAAAACAAATCAGAATAACTGCAAGTGGTAGAAGTTGTAGCTTTAAGGCTTATTTTGTCTGCTTTTGTAGCCTTTATCCTATCATAACAGCTAGGCTTCTAGCTGCTGTATCTTCACAAGCTTCAGTAAGTTTTCAAGCATTTTACAACTAAAGCAAGTTCTTCTAGTAGCCAACAACTACTAGGGGTTGCAGAAATAGAATGCACTTTACGAACAGCGCCATGTTCTAAGTTTCATTAATAAATCCCAGAAGCTGTTAAATCTAATTCAGTATCCAATAATGCACGTAACGGATTTGTTTAAAACTCTATCCTGTATTTTAAATGCTTACGATTGACTTCTAGTTTAATCTCCAAACAAACAGAAAGGAATTGTTTACTAATCAAGATGGAGTAACCATAAAGCAATCTATTAAGAATAGACTCAGATTAAGATTTCAAATAAGACCTGTCTTCTATTCTTTCCCTTCTTTATGATACTAATAATCATTTTAAAAAATCAAAAAATTTCCAAATGAATCAAACAAGCCTAATTATCAGGATTATATTTATTATTATTATTATTAAGATTATACATAATTCATTTTATCTGAAACAATAAAAAAAAACCAATAGTATTAGCAAAGAAACAAATTTAAACAGACAAGTTTAATTTACTCTAACACAGAAACAAAACACCCACAACTAGGGACATGAGAGAGAAGAAAATCATAAAAACCAACTGTTAAACTGCAATTGTATCGTCTTTCTCCCTGAGTGAGACACAGCTCATATAGTAAGTAATACTTCTAATGAAAACTCTTCTTACTAAATTTAACAATATCCTTCAGCATTCTCCACTGCACAACATTTCAAACCATAACACTTCGCCAACATCATCCTTGACATCCGTCTTCATTGCTGTATTTTCAACAATGTTCTCTGACACTTATACTAGGTTTGTAATTTGTGTCTTTTAGGTTCTCATTCTGTTTCTACACTTTCCTTATCACTTCTTCCTTAAATCCTTCCTCAGAATTGTAAATGCTTTTATTTCTCCAAATACCAGTGAAGTACTCTCTTCTGCTCAACTATCATTTCACAGAAAAACACCAGGAGGTGAAAAAAAAATAGTAATATTGAAGAAGAGGTAGAAGCAGCAAAGCCTGCTTTAAATAAAACAATAAATAAAAACGGCAGAGTTAAGGTCACCACGCATTATTAGCTGTCAACAAATGTTTCTGCTGTTTCCGTGTTATCCATCTCATTTTAAAGCTCCTAGTTCATCTCTGCTCCTTTATTTGTTACCAAAGTTGCTGATAAAAGTTCTTTTTCTTCATTACTGATATGTCTGAGGAAAATTTAATTTCTGGTGAAAAAGGACCTCTTTCAATACACTCACCTAACAACTTAGCAAATGCATTATTTGCACTAAGATTAGGATTCAGAAAACAGTTAATTGAGATTTTAAAATATTCTAATGATCTCTAGAAAAGAAACTCATTTATTTTCTCTTTTTCATTTAGCCTGCAAACACCTCGTGACACCTAAAACTCCCATCTCTTATCTACAATGCCAGCTCAAAATACTTCACAGATTACTGATACTGCTGTACATCGGATACTCCTAAAAACAGAAAATGGAGATCATATCTTAACATTTCATCTTGGAAGTCTTTTCTAAGTACCACAGAACTCCAATAGATTGAGCAGTATGAATTAAACTACTACTAACATTTTATTTAAACAAAACCTGGAAGATTTTGCTCATTCACAAAAAGGTATACTTCAGGTGTCTGTTTTGTAAGAATAATCATCTTACCTTTATAGTTTCACTTAAGACTTGGTTTTTATCTGCTTCTTCACTGGAGTGCAATTCTAGTTTATTATTTAACTCCTGTAGCTGTTGTGCCTGTTCATTCAACAGCACTTGTGCTTGATGCTCCCAATGTAATACATTATTTAATTCTTCACATGCACTTTCAAACCTCTTGTGAGCGATCAATTTCTGATAAGGGAAATAAATTGTGTTTGATTGCATAACTATATTCATTTGTTTACATGCTTGACTTCCAGAATTCTATTTGCTAGCATACAAAATTCTAAAATAAAAGCATGCTCAAGATGAACACTTAGGTTTTTAAATATGAAGGCAGATCATGAAGTACTAAACAGTAGGCAACTTTTTCTGGAAAAAAAAAAAGCATTTAGGGTATTGTAAACAGTATGCATTAATTATTTTATCCAAATTAACATAGTGAGGTTGTAAAAAAATCAGTATTAAAAAGGAAATATGAAGATCAACATCACATTTCAGCGTGCAACATATTAGCCATTGTAAATGCCTCCCTGGACCATTTCTCCTCTGCTCAATATGGATCAGAAGAAAGAAATAAAGCATCTACATCTAAATGACATTTTCATTTAAGCACCCCAGAACTGTAAAAGGGGATAAAACCATTATGAACAAAACTGAAGATGATCAGATACCCTTATTCATTTAAATTAAAAAAATTATTTTACTGCCTACGAACAAGAAGTGAAATAATCTATTAAATATTTTCTGGTTAAGTGTTTTGATTGGGTCACTCTAACAGGTCTATCACCTGGGCCTCAAGATCAACTTCGGGCACAACTACAGCTAATACTGCTCATTCTGAGAAATGACTACTACGGCTGCCCAAAGCAGCAAAAAAACGTATATGGGGACACTTATCCACCCAGTTTCTCAATCTGCTAAATCATTAGATCAATTTTGAATTTAAGCAATAGAATTACAGGAAGAAAGGTGTCCAGTCAACACACAGCATTTCTCACTGCAATAAGGACTGAAGGTACAGATGAAAGAGCATGATGGGGAGTACACCAACCATCTACAAAAGGACATACTGGGGACAAAGAATTGAAGTTCTAGGGCAGTGATAATCTGAGAAGACTAAATCCCTCACAGAACAGGACCATTACTTGTTACATAATGACTTTAAGTAGTTAAGAAACCTCCACCAGGACCCCCAAATCCTTCTCCACACAGCTGCTCATAAGGAGATCCTCCCCCAGTTTGTACAGATACCTGGGATTACCCTGGCCCAAGTGCAGCTCCTTGCAATAGTATCTACTACAACACTCAGTTCAGTGTCACCAGCAAGCTTGCTGAAGGTGTACTCAACCCCACTGCCTAAATCATTGGTAAAGATGCTGAAGAGCATGGATACGAAGACATGACCCTGGTAGACATCATTCAGCACTGGCCCTCCCCTGGAAGGAGAGTGAAAGAGATTTTGCTCCCTGGAGTCCACACCCAGAGGTTAAGGTACATGAAAAGCGTGGGAAGCCTGACTGCCAGTGAAGAATCAGGCAAAGAACTCACTGAGTACTTCAGCCTTCTCCAAGTCTGCTGAAGCCACTACTGCCTTCACATTTATCAGAAGGGGAACACTCTCCTTGGCCTTTCTTTTCTGACCAACATAGCTACAGAATCCTTTCTTATTATTTTTCAATTCAATATAAATGTAGAATTTAAAATGTTACATTATTGCTTATGAGTTTGTCATGAACGTACTTACTTTGTACCCTCACTCTAGCCAAATTTACTCTTTTGATGTGAAATCTATAAATTCTTTTAGGGCATACAAATAACATCAACATTTTAACATATAGAACTAAACTTGAACTGCTGAAATCCAAATGTGTAATTTGCACAAAACACCTTATTCTGCAAGCCAAAGCAAAACTCCTGTGGGTAGGAGATATTTCTAAATGCATTTTGCTTATGGTTTAGACATTTACAAGGTAAAATATTTGAAAAATTCTGTTAATAGTACATTGACTTTACACTTGCTTTTCAAAAGAATACAAATGGAAAAAAATGCATAAAAGGGAGGACTCTTGTAAGCAGTCTCCTCTAAATCAAATATACTTACAGATTGCCTAAACAAACTTAATTGCTCTTTCAGGCTCTGGGTTTTGTCAGCCTCCTGTTTCATCTTACTGAAATTCAACTTGAATTCTGCAAGTTCTAGGCGTAGTGAGCGGCGCTCCACCTCTACTGTATGAAGTCTTTGTGTCAATTCAAATATTTGCTTCTGCAAGGATGCTATGCTCTTCTGTTGGTAAATGGAAAGAATTTCATGTGCTATGAAAGTGTGCCATTTTGTATTTATACGCTGTTTATAAAAGCAGTAACAGTAATATTCAAGAAAATTATGCAAAACTATTGTCTTGTTCTCCATCTCTAGAAGATGCACAAGTGCAAAAACATGAATGCATTTCATCCACCCTTGAGGGTTATTGAAAATTTTGTTTCCAGAGAATTATCTTGTTTTCATGCAAGACTCACAATAGAAGACAGGCTCTGCGACAGAGACCTTAACCTTTAATTTCTATTAGAGAGGAGAAGGTTATCTTCACTGGAAGGTAACCTTAACAGAAAAAACAAACAAACAAACCTTAACATGTAGTAGCTGAAAAGCAAGTTTGCTCCTGTAAATCAAATATAATTTTGATAGAACTTCTTGCGCACCTCAAATTCCTTCTTAAAATTCCTAAACTTTAGAAGATCTACCCAAGACATGATGTTTTATGGTGTTGCAAATCAAATTCTAAATCCCTACATAGCTGACTTCAATGTAACTGATTCATAAATCTGGAACAAAATTAATGGCACCATGAAGAGAGTTACACCGTAACACTTGCGCTGCGAACACACTGTTTACTTGAAGTAGCACTATAAACATGCATACCATAATGGGCCATCTGTCACATGATCCAGCTTCCAGAGCTTGTGCATTTATTTTATGAAGTCCATGAGCCAGCCTCCGTACCAAGGAGTTTTTCTCCACGTAAGTAACACTCCTGCTGCTATCTAATGGAACAGTCTCCATTATTGTATTAAGCTTGTCCGTAAGTTTTGAAAAGGAGTTCCTGGCTGCACTTACAAGCAAGCGTCCAGAAAGACAAGACTTTGGGTCTTTAAGAAATAACAACAAAACATCAAAGAGGTTAAGAATCTCATTTTTTCAGAAAAAAAAAAAAAAAAAAGTAACAACAAATAGCATCTATCAGCAGGAAATTTGCCTCAGATAATGGAAGACCAGGGAATGTATTAGAGCAAATATAGAACAAGTTCTGTACTTAGCAGTAAACAGTCTACTTCTATCAATCTCTGGATAGGAAGGGCAAGACTGGATAGGATCTAAAAGAATAGGATGCGTTTTACAAACAACTGTTTTCTGTATCTTTTTAAATGTTCTCCTCCAACACTACACATTCTGAAGCCTTTTTTGTATGCTCATATTTTGTGATTTATAAAAAAAAATGTAAGACTGATGCAAGCAAAATGCAAGTCAGATCAAATATATCAGATAATATAACACATGGTGAATCACTTTATCACAATATTTACAATGCAAATTTCTGAGCATTTTCTGATTCCTCTTCCCTCCCCTCCATAGATGTCTAAATCATTTGCTGTTCAAAATTAGTGAGCCTTGGTACCTTAATGCCATAGTATTTATACTCTGAGACAAGAGAATATAATTTACCTTATTCCAAGGCAATTAAAATTTTACAGCTACAATTACTTATTTCCCCACAGGATTTTGGTAATCATCCTTCTCATATAATGGACTTAAGGCCCCAGCACACCCAACATGTCCTGCTTACTGCTAGATTCGTCAGGTCTGTAATTAATAATTGTGTTTAATGTTGATAAATAAAATTGTCAGTGCTCCTTCCACTAATTGGTATTCCAGATAAGAGTTAATAGGTTTATTTATGCCTTAATAAAAGTCTTGTAATTTAGTTTTCCCTCTGCTAGGCAGGTCTTAATCTGTCATTACTTGTCTTATGATACTATCAGTGTAAGATGACAAGCATGGAAGAGCTTATTTACGTTCAGTAGTACAGCAGATCTCCTGTTGCTGTAGTGAATTAAAATATTTACTTAAACGTGTATACAGAGAAAATAATAGTGATAGCTTTTAGTAAGTAAAATAATTCTTCTTATTATACATTACAAGAATAAAGCCAAAGGTTCAGAGTAAATAAAATAAGATTATTGCTATCTTCAGAGTTCGATTGTCACTATAAAGAATATATCATTTATACATATAAGAACCAAATTGCCTGTAAGCAAACAAATGAAATAGTGCATGATAAGGTCAGATAGTATTTTTTCACAGCCATTCTCCTAATTCTATTTCAAAATACCACCATTTCAATGACGTCAGTGATTAAACTGAAATTATCATTTTTGAATTCATGCTCTCCATAACTCCTACTAATAGTAAATCTGTCGTTTCTTCATTTCCTTAGATAGGTCTCCTTCTACTCATCTTTAAAGCTAAAAACATTGTCCAACACTCTTATATTTTACCTCAGTAAACCAAGCGGCTTTTGAAACAGGAGAAAACGATTCCTGTCTTAACCAGAAGAAAAGGGTATTGCAATGCTGTGCCTCCTTTTGCCAAGGCTCCTCCTTTTTTCTTCTGCTGGTTCTCCATTGCTGATCACATTCAAGATCAGCTCTCTTTGTCATTTCAACTCTTGAAAAATTTAGTCTTGTCCTCCCTTTCAGTTTTAAAGACCCTCTCATTTCTTCAGTTGTAATGACAATGATTAGTTCGAATGCTTAGTGCAATTTACCTAAAACTGGAACTATGCTTACTACCTAACACATAAGAAGACACAAAAACCTTCCAAAAACCTCTCCTTCAAAGTGATTCTTGGTAGATATGAAAACACTGATATGTCAATAACCTCTTTTTGCTCCATTAACCATGGCACCTCCGTCTACGTCTTTTTACGTGATACAGTTTGCCTGTATCATGTATTGCCAGTATTTCTCAATGTATTCAGTACTAAAGATGGTCTGCTATGTTTAGATGTTTCTCCTATGTCTAGAATCACCAGTTTAACCACATTTAAATTAAACTAATAATAATATTTTGGAGGAACTGTGTTGCATCAAGTTATTATCCTATTTCAAAATAAGTTACTGTTTTGAAAGATAAAATAAAAATATAATGAAGTTCCACAAGGAACTTATCTATAACCACTGGGTAGAAAATGTATGCTTTAAGCATATACATTTTAAGAATATGCCAACAAAGAATCAAAGATAAAACAAAGATAAAACAGTCAAGCGAATGAATTCAATAGTACTACAGTACTACACAAGACTAAAATTAACTAAAAGATCAAATTTCAAAACCTTTGTATATGTTTCAATTGATTATATTTGTATTCAAAATACTCGATTTGTACTTTTTCTGATTTACTGCAGTACAGTACACTTAAACTTCTAATCAAGTTGAACATAAGAGATCATTCCAAGACATGCTGGAGTGAGGACGAACCAATGTGATGGGAAACAATCATGAATGTTAAAAGAGAAAGCATATACATTTTTTAAATTAGAAGCACAATAAATGCGCCTCGAAGCACAAGTCCCAATTCTGTGTGACAGATTTGGGTTCTCTGAAATGCCCCAAATAATTCCTCAGAGCCTGGTAATTTTTAAAATCCCTTTCAAGACACTGAACCATTTCATATTGTAGATGCACAGAGAACTTTCTTCCTTGTGCTTTCTTCTCCTATGATGGCAAGTCTAATCTGGAAGTGCTAGAATTTCAAGATCTGATGAGAGAAAATGCCTCTCAGATTGTCTACTTATATTCAAACATTTTTCAAAATCACTCGAGCCAGTTTGCAGCTTTAAATCCTGTTTGAAATAGGGCTTGCAGAAAATAAAAGCAAAAATATGCAAACCTTTCTTTCAAATATATCCTACACAGCTTTGTCACTTCTGTACTTCTGGAAATTTGATGTCCAATGACTTATTAATATTTTTTGAACCAAAGGTTCTTCAGAGACTTTTGATCCCATGAGTAATGGAATCTCAAGTACTACACGAGCAGTAAGAACTTGATGTTCTCTAAAAATATGACTTAAATTATTTGCAGTTATAATATTCTCAGCATGGTTCTTGCTAGTTCTAAACACCAAAAAAACTGTGTTGCGTACAGAGATATCAAGTAAAATCAAGTTCATATAAAAGCCTATCAAAATGCTCATCTACTTCAACAGGGGTAAAAGACAATTAGGGTATTCTAACAAGTCAAATTCAGCATATTGATGCAGAAGTAGAGTTTATACTAGAGTTTATCTTTTGTATTTGTAGATCTTATTAAGTAGTCCATACACAAGAATACTTGCAGTATAAACCCTGTAATGCCTTGAAAAACAGTTCGAACTTTGTTCTGTATGGATATAGATTTAAATTGCTGAAAACAGGATTAGACATGAAGAGCGCACCTGAAACTCAATCAAAATATTTTTCATTAAATGGCTTTACTTCTGTAAATTATCCTTCTTTTAATATTCTTTATATATCCTTTAATATCTATTATTCTGTGACATGATTTTGGGACTCCAAAATTGCCAGGTAACAAAGAACAAATAAGGGTAACAGCAATGCAGAGGAACCAAGTGAGATTTTATCTTAGTCTTCTTAGCAAAGACATCAACAGCTAACAGATGGGAATCAAGAGATAACATATCCAAAGACTGGCACTAAAATTTTCCATAGGCCTAGTACAACACAAATGTGAGGAGAGGCTAAGAAAATTAAGTAACTGTGACAAAAGAATATGCTTAAAGAGGGAATACAATAGGGAAACAAGATAAAGATTGCTATATAGTGTGTAAATTGACAGATATTTATTTCTCTGTCAGAAACAGCAAAATAATAAGTACAAAAGATGAAAACAGTATGAAAAGACAATTGTTTTCAAGATGCTAGTAACTTCAGAAATTCTAAGTTCGCATCTGGTATTTAGATACATTTCCTGTAAAACACAGTAGAAAATTCACACAGTCAGTGGGGGTAGTATCCCAGGTTAAATAAGTCCCAGCTTTAGGGTCCACATTTAAATCAGAAATGCCATACACTTCATATAAAAAATAAGGTTGGTCTTCAGTAAAATGTTTTTTGAATGTTAGAAAAGTGGAACAAGGTAGCTAGTAAGCTTTTAAATATTTTGGTACATATTCCTTAAATACGAAAAAAGCAGCTTTTTAAATGTTTTAATACATCACTAGAAATTTTTAAGAACAAATTAGCCACATATGTACTGGCACAGTATATATGTATTTTTTCTTACTCACAACAAAGAGGTCCAGGTGATTTCTAAAAACACTCTTAAGCCTTCTATTTCCATGACCATATGTACTGAAAAGACTTAATAAAAAATAGTTCATATAAAACAGTAAGAATTTCAATCAGGTGAAGTTCATAATTCATGGGATATGTTCACGTGTTTGAATCTACTACAATAATATTTTTTAATTTACCTGTTCTGCTAATAATATCCTGTAATTCTGTGACAGAACTGATTATTGCAGTAAGGAGATCAGAACTAGTAAACCAGTTGAGTGCTTCAACACAACCAATTCCTTCCTTGTTGTATCCTGTGAAAGAGAATTGTAGGGAGCAATAAAATTGAATAACACAGATAAGGCAGACTACCATCTCTATATCTTTCAGAAATTGATCAAAACTTAAGTGTATAACTGACAAACTGACTCCTCTTTTAGCATATTCTAGACTATATTAAGTATTTTTCAACAGCTAATAAAGCAAATAGGAAAGTAAATGAATCTTTGAGTTTGTGAAACATTTTGGATATCATTCTTTCCTGGAGGGGAAGCAATTCGGTAACAGAAAGGAAGAGAAAGACTATATAATCTCCAGAGAAAATACATCAGACATTCTATACTAATATTACACCTGAATCAAAATGCAATTTTTTTTTCCCATTTTGAGTAGGATAAAAATTGTGAAACTGATTTATAAAAAGAGTTATCTTTTCTAAAACAGATGAAACAGAAGATACGGTGGTATCTAATTCCAAAACACATAGTAGAAGTGTCAGAGATATCAGACAGTATGAAATCACATGTGAAGCACCGAAAGAAAGGTTACAGCTGTACAGACTAAGTAGTGTCTTTTTTGGGGAAATTACATTTGTCAAGAAATGCGGAAAATCCATTTGTTAAGATGTTAATACATGAGACTTTACACCCTATTACTAACATTATTATTTATTATTCACTAATCATGTAATGTGACATAACATTTATAAAACAAGAAAACAATTAGCTTACTTGACATATTATGCTTGCCTTTGGAGTCCCCTACACACACTAGAATTCCAGTGCCTTCTTTAAAGCCATTTATCAATGAGAAGAGGCAACTAGAAGACTGGGATAGAACTTTAAGTCTGTTAGCTGCCAAAACTGCAATCACACCTCTTCGGAACACACGTATCAGGCCTCTGAATTTCTGTTTCTTAATTTTCGCATCATCTTCCTTCTCCCCATCTACACCAGAGAGAACATGAACAAGAGTCCTAATTTCCTGGTTGACTAATTCATAAACGTTGACCTGCTCCTGAAGAAGGTCTCTTTGTATAGCCATGGCACATGATCGGCCATAGAGAGGATACAGGGCACCTGCCAATAGCGCACATGCTGCCAGGAGAGATGAATGCTCCTTCCGAATCTGTGTTAATGTATTTTTCACATAGAGATTTTCAAGGGCCAATTGCTCCCGTCTTTTTTCAAGGACACAGATTTTTTCTTTGTTGTTCTCTGCTGTTTCTTGGTATTCCTGGGATAAAGGAGGAGGAAAAACAAAACAAAACAAAATAGAAGATATATTAACTGAAGGTAATTGCTTAAATTAAAAAAAAAAAAAAAAAAATTTAAACTTAAAAAAAAAAAAAAAAAAAAAAGCAGCTAAAAGAATATTGTCAACAAAATAGCTAAAACATGTCTCCTAGAAAAAAGCTATAGAAACACATATATGCAAACTAAACATCAACATGAGTAAAATTTGCACAGTGTTCTGTAACTCTGACCGGACTCCAGATTTCTGAAGCTAAACCACATTTACAACAATAGATCACAGTATGTGATCAATGGTACCTGGCTGTCCACAACACAATTGTTTGCCTAACAATACACAACTACATGTTCCTGTTTCAGAAAGAACATTGTTCTTCAAAGCAGAAAAGAAAGTATGAGAGGAAAAAAAGTAAGGAAAACTCTGGAAGATAAAAATAGACAGATTGGTAGCAGCTGGAAAAGGGGAAATAAAGGTGATCTCCTAATTACTTTGTAATCAACCCCCTACTTATAAATTCACAGATTAATTATGTCTCATACAGAACAGAGACACTGTTTTGAAAAGAACAATGTAATACAGGCATTTTTATTTTCACTACATCCATCATGGATTTTTTTCAGCTTGTATCATTTTTTTCCCTCTCTAAGCCTTTAAACGGGGAAGGAGGAATGTTAAAAACAGTGAAGAAGAAAAGTGATGACATCAAAAACACCGGGACTATACTTAGACCATGCATGCTCGTTGGTGTTGATGCCATGCATGTTCTTGTACTAGAATCAAGACATTATGCTGTAGTCTCAGAGGCTTAGATTGGCTTCCCGATGCATGAGAGTCCTCTGTGATTGGAGTACTTGAGTCTATGTTTAAGCAGGATCCAGTGATAAAAAGAAGTAATTTTTATACACTTCACAAAGAAACCACAAGCTCAAGTCAATATTTTTTTCTTTCAAGCTCTAGTTACAATATGTGAACACAAAAATGTAGAATGCCAAGTCAGTATGATAAACAGAGAGGACTACGTTAAGGCTTTAGCTTCCTCTCTTGGAGCTCTCAACAGTTTTGTTTAAAAATGGGGATCAGTGGTTATTCCTGCGGGAAAATGAGGGCAAAACAGAACTCAAATGGTATCTACCAGCCATGTTTCTACATGTCAACTTTGCTACAGGCCTCAAGCAAATGGATGCACTCTAATTTCTTCTGCCTCTTCCAATAAACATGGAGAGGAAAAAGTACATAAGCTATCCCTAGAATTGAAACAAAATTTACAAGTTTCTGTAAAAAGGCAACCCTGACAGCTCAGAAGGTCTTTAACCAAATAAATATTTAAATATTTTTTTGACAGAGGAAAAAAGCATTTTGGCTAGACTAGGAAGACAAACAGAATGACACTTTCATGACCACACACACCTTCCTCTTCAAGAGGAAGAAATAGAACAACAGCAGGTAGATTTTGCAGATGTTTTGACAATACAGATATTGAGAAAGCAGCATTCATAAAACCTATTGGTATGTAAAACAGTGTAGCCTTATTAAAATATTTCCCATAACACAAAAGTAGAATAGATAACTGAACAATTCAATTATAAAATGCAACTCAGAGGCCTCATATCTCACTCTAAAATTAAGTATGAACATGTACAATATTTTCAGAGCTACTGTATTATTTACAGTGTTCGATTTCTACAGAAAAAAAAAAGCTGGTAGCATGACTGGAAGCAACTCAAAAGGTAAGCTGAATTTAGAAAACAACTTATGGTTTCTGGCCAGAACAGGTGAAAGGCCAATATCTGAGTAAACAAACATAAAAGTATGATCCCTACAGGGCTGTTAGGCAGCTACACTAACATTCAGTTCTCCAGCTAATTAAAGCTTACTTTTCTTTTTTTTAAAAACAAAATAAAATATAGCATTTAAATCCTTCTAGTTATATAAGAACAAGCAAAAGTGAACAAGACATTCCCTAACAACAGATTTTTTTTAAAAAAAGATATACTGTCAATGTCTAATAATTAATTACAACTTCCTCTTCATTATTTTTAAGGCTTTCTTCGAAACTCAAATGGACAATTTTGAAAGAAATACAGAATGCTCCTCCTAAATGCTGGCAAGCCAGCTTCCTTGGGTGCTTCAATTCTGAGGGATTCCTGAGTGGCTTACGAACTTGGTGAATTTTAAGAACCATTTACTAAAAATTCAGACACTGAAAATTCAGAAATTCAGCAGCAGAGTTTTATTGTACTCGTTTTTGTGTCCTTACGCTTTATTTTGGCAAGAAAACAGAACTGAAAGCTAGAAATATAATGAATTGGTTTCAGAACATCTTTCTGTATCTCATTTGTTTTATTTTTCTGGGTTGAAACACTAAATTCTGATGTTTTTGCAAGATACCACAGCCTTTGTCTAATTCACCAAAAGCAAAGCTCCTTAACAACCAAAAAACCAAAATCTAATAAAAGACCTTTTTTTTTTTTTTTAAATCCCTAAAGGATTTTTTCCCCTTTCCTCTTTTGGTAAAATTTTGTTAATCTGTTGAAATTAACATTTTAACATATGAGGGCTGCTCTGAAAGTAATGCCTCCTATTGTGTAATGTTGGCCCAAGACATCAGAGGCAGATGATGTTGGTATGGAAGAGAGGTTGAACTTCTCCAACACTATTCCATTACATGTTGATGCTATGTGACAGATAGCAGAGGGCCAGTCTGACAGAATGGCATCCGACATGGAAGTGTAGACGAAGAAAAAGTGTGCCACTGAATTCCTCCATGCAGAAAAAATTGCACCCGCTGACATTCATCGATGATTGCTGAACATTTATGGAGCCCAAACACTGGATGTGAGCACAGTGAGGTGGTGGGTGGTGGTTTTCAGCAGTGGAAAAAACAACATGAAAGACAAGCCACATTCTGGATAGCCATGCATAGCTGTTACATCGCAGAATGAAGAGCGCCTTGATCACCGCATCCGGACGAATCAACAAATTACAATCAGGGAACTACGCATGGAACTAGAAATATCTGCTTCAATGCATTGAAACGATGGTGACAAGACTGGAATATCACAAAGTTTGTGCCAGATGGGTCCCATGATTGCTCACTCAGGAACAGAATGAACACCACATACACGTTTGTCAGGAAATAATGAATGAATATGAAAGTGAAGGTGACAATCTCCTGGTCTCGTAATTGCATCATTACCAGTGATAAGACTGGTAATGATGGTAGTGTCACCACTACTAGCAGGATTCAAAATGGCAGTCCATGGATCAGTGAAATCCTCATCAAAGAGAAAGCTCAATATGCAGTCTTCAGCAGGTAAAAGGGTATGCACTATCTTCTGGAATAGGAAAGGAGATCCTTCTGATTTCCTGCAACCTGGACAAACCATCAACCTTGAACGCTACATTGTAATGCTGATGGCTTGAACTTCCAGAGTCAGGCCACATAAGAAGATAAGGTTTCTCCTGCAACACGATAATGCCAGGCCCCAGACCGTGGAGAACACTACCACTCTTGGCTGAACTGTCCTATTTCAAGCACCATACAGTCTAGATTTGGATTGTTCTGACTTTCATCTGTTTGGGCCAATGAAAAATGGACTGCGTGGGCAACATTTTTCTAAAACCACCACCATCATAGCAAATGTGAAACAGCAACAGAAACCAAGTTTCACTGGTGCAGATTTTTACAAGTGTCGTATGCAGGCTGTTGTTCATTGCTGGCAAAAATGCATACCTAATGATGGCAACGATGTTGAAAAACAATGTTTTGTGTTTTGTAGCTGAGAATTTGGACTTTCAAATAGTGTTATTGTGCTCTTTGTATCTGTTGTGGTTTCCATAGAAACAGATAGGAAGAATTACTTTTGGAACAAACTACACAGTTACAGGATTTTTCTCTTACAACATGTTTTTCTATATGAGAACAAAACCCTCCTATTTTAAGCAGCTGCCACAAGAAATGGGGACAGATTAATAAATGCCTATATAATAAACAACAACTGCTAGTTAAAACTCAGAAGACATTTCCTATGAGACTATGCATTGGCTAAATAAATAATCTGTGTGAGGCTAAGGAACAGGCATAGTAACATTTTCAGAATGGCACTCTACCAAATCATGGGGACTGTTTTTTCTACATAAGGCAGGGAAAAGAGATATTCTAAGCTCAACTGACCGAATATGGAAACCAGGAACAAGAATGGCATTATCTGTAGGGAGTTTGTTTATTGCTGATCAGCATTAAGGCAACTCCGGGAAATTCTGTCATACAGAAAAACAGTGAAACTGCTTTCTGGTTACATCATTCACCTGATCAACAATAACAGCTGTGATGTACAATCTAACAGTAACCATAGATCCTATCTTGAAGTCAGGGATCCTGAACAGTACTAGCTGAGGGCAGAAGCACTGGCAGTTGTTACTGTCTCCATATTGCTACATCCCATTTCAATTAAAAAGGAACCTTTCAGAAAAGTTCCAATTCTCCACGTCAATTCCAAGACACCAAAACGACAGTCTCCAAGATATTTTACTCACACTGCTGTGCAGTTACAGCTCTCAGAAAAACTGATAAAGTCATGAATACAGATCTAAGACACATGTCTGAACTGCCATTTTTCTATTTGCCTTCATATATGCTTTCTATGTTAATAAAGCTACATTAGTGTATCTGCATAACTGATTCAGCACTGCAGCAACTGTCCAGATTAACACAGTTGACAGGACCAAAATATAATAAGGAAAAGACAATCAAGTCTCGCAAGAAGCAGGCAGTCAAGACTACAGCAGTCCTAACTGCTGATATCCATGAAGCCGGTGGAGCTCAAAAAGGTAAAAGTTTAATCAATATTTGCAGGTCCAAACTTGAAAAGCAGAAATTCAGAGGAAATTAGAATGTCTTATTCCATGCAAACTGGAACTCTAGAAAGAACAGAGATACAACAAAGTTCTGCTGAGTAATCTGTGCATACAGATGCTACACTGCCAAGGTACCCCATCAGTTTCTACACCTACGTAACTTTTTTTTCTAAAAAATATGCACAGATATTTCTAAGAAAAAGCATTTCCTGGGTAGAAACACAGCAGTTCTTTACAATTAGTTGACAGATAAAGCATCTTCCAGGTTTGGCTAACGCACAGCCCACAGCAGAGAGCCATGTTTTCAGTACGCTGCTATACTACATAATTTCTAATACAAGTAATTTATATCTTACACCTTTAGCTGTAAAGAAAAAAAAAGTCACTAGTAAGTGCTAGACTGAAATAAGCAGTATTTAAATAGTCATTTGCTTCCTATTCCGAGAGAAATGAAAACTAGCACAGTTGCTGTAGTGATGCAGTATTTTTCTTAAATTATTTTTAAAATACACTAAAATTCCCAAATAATCTGAAATTGGTTAGAAGCTCAAACTACTGAAATAGTCCATTAAATATTTACAAGGAAAAAAAACAAGAGAACTTCACAGCACCATACCTGTGCCCTTGCATGAACTTCCCCAAGGAGATCTGAGTACTGCTGTTCCAGGCACTTTTTTTGTTTCTGCCAACAGCTTTCCTGTGCTTTCATCTGTTCAGCCATTTTGCTAATATCATCTTCCCGGCTCCGCTGAAGCTCCTTCATAGTATCAGACTTGTTCTTACAAATATATTCTAGGTGAGATATCTATGTGACAGGTGTTTAAAAAGAAACATTATCTCCCCACGTATAAACCTTTTGACTTTAACTGTGCATATTAATTTAAGCACTGACTCTTGCAGAATAAAATCTAAATTTTAATTTCTTTAATGTATTTATTAAAAGTAAAAAGCCTTTCATGACAGAACACTTTCTTGAATCCTGCAAGACATATGTTAGAAAAATGGCTTTTATTCTGGCCACCTTTGTTCTTTCTTGAAGATAACTGCTGCCTTCTTTCTTGGAAATCTGAACCAGAGATCTCTTGCTTACATTGAAAAAAAGCTAAATCTTGTATTGCTAAATTAGTAATCCAATCATACTAGTCCTCTAGTAGCTTGCAAGAACTGCAAGTAATAATGAAAAAAAAACTAGCTCTTAATTTCATTTTTTCTTTCCTTAGAAAACCAGTGCTTTTCATACATTGAGTATGAAAGTGACTGCAAGAAGTGTATAGAAGATTTTTCTAAAAAGTAGCTCACTAGATTATGACGTGATTCCAATGCGCATGAAAGGATTCACTCTGTGATTCAACTTCTCAGTTCCCATGCAAACTAATGGAGGAATGAACGAAGTTAACAATAATCTCTAAATACACATACATATATTTTGTTACAAAAGAGTACTAGCAATGTATTTTTAAAAACCATCACATGACAGAGCAGAAGAAAAATTTTGTTCTGAGAAAACAGGTAGACCACAGGAAGGCTGCCCCAAATCCTCAAAAAGTTGATAAGTATGTGATGAGCGCCCTACAGCCCTCTTAATCAATCACAACAAGCTTACTAAATTAAAATGCTGAAAGAAGAAAAATATACCCGAAGTCACTGCCAACAGTGAACTGATTCTGAATCTTCTAAACTCTGTGGCTGTGTGGCTCCCTTCACTTCTGCTTTCTTTCCACCTCTATTTTGAAATGAAAATAGAAATTTTGCCTGTACAGTCAGTCTCCATAGTCCGGAATTTATTTTTTGCTGACTTTCCATATAAGTTTGAAGCTACCTTAAACTGTCTCTGCATTCTTGAAGCCGACATGCCCTGAATAAAAGCTAACCAATCTCTTGTATCAGTGCAGTGTGTCAGCTGTGCTTTTTATCAGAGCGGTTGTGCTGGCTGCTTTTTTAAAGCCCTTCTAAGCAAAAATGCTACCTTAAAGGGGAATGGAGTTGGCTCCAGAGCAGCCTGCAGGCCCAAGTTGCATGCTGACCTCCCAGTACTTCTCTTAATGTGCAGCGGTGTTTTGTCCAGTGTTTACATTTGGCTCATGGTGAGCAAAGCAACAACCTTCTACTGAAGGTGCCAAAGATGGCCTGAGAGAGCGCTGTGTCAGGAGTTCCTGATCAGCAAGTTCAACAAATCAAAAGATCATCCTGCCCACATCTTCCAATTCCCTGTTCCCTGTTTCTCCTCCTGATCTTCTTCTAAACTCTGTGTCTGTGTGGCTCCCTTCACTTCTGCTTTCTTTCCACCTCTATTTTGAAATGAAAATAGAAATTTTGCCTGTACAGTCAGTCTCCATAGTCCGGAATTTATTCTAATCTACATTTCTCTTGTAGTTTTGATTGACTGTTAGGTTATTATCCAAATAATGGGAAGAGTCAGAATAATTCTCTGAATAAAACTAGCTCTGTCTCAAGTCTGCCCACAATTCCAGCAGATGAGAAGATTCTGAAACAGCCTTTCCCTTCTGATGCTTCAATACCAACATGTCCAAAGCAGCCAGGATCTGGAACCATTCTACTAGACCATGGCAGTCTAGAACTGCCCTGATCGAAGGTGTCAGAACATGAACTGAAACTGAAGAGTGGTGTGTGTTAGACAGAAGAGCCAGTTTAAGTCCTTTTAAAACTTTTCTTTCTCCTAAAAAAGGTCGAGATTTCCACGAAGAATGGCCACGAAAGCTTAGTAACACTGAAGTCACTCAGAAAAGTGCAGTTCCATCCTCGAACAAATATTAGCACGCACTGACATACTTCACAAAAATAACTGTTTTCTATTGTATTTCTGAATATAAATCTCATGGTCAAGAAGTTATAATTAAACAAAAAATACATAGGGCATTTCTTCCAGTAGTATATCTGAATCTTAAGCACATAATTTAAAAATGATGTTCCTAAAGTAAGTGCATTTTGTTTCTGTTTTATGCTAAAATAAAGACTTGCTTTATTAGTGTAAATGACTAAGTTCTTTGAATTGCTTCATCAGTAAGATTAATTTATTTTCTTTTAATTAGGTCCCTGTGGCTAATATTGGCTAGTACTATTAGCATGTCCTGCACAGAAAGCGGAGCTTAGAGACTTCATACAGACTTCAGTCACTTTTACATGCCCACAGCAATGGCATCAAACTGAGTTGTAGACAAGCCATAATTAATGGTATTGAATTATTAACGCCCAAATTCTTTTTGAAATAAGATGAATGTCAGTCCTTTTTAATGATACTGTGATGTGGACAAATGTCACCGAATTTAATAGAGGTAGCTGGTGCCTAAGGACACTTACCTTCTCATTAGCCCTGTTGAGGTCTAAGATCAGGGCATCAACATTCTCCTGCAAGACTGCACAAAGCTCCGACCAAGAGAATCTATCTAGGATGCCTTCTGGTTGTTTTATAAGCACACAGCCAGCTACCAAATGCTGGTACAAGCCATGAAGGAAGGTTAGCTTCTCCTGAGACAAAAAGAAAAATCAACTGTTAACTATGAACCATGTTAGTATCCAAAGTGATACATCACACTTGTAGTAACACAGATTTAAAAAAAAACAAAAACAAAAAACAAACACATAAGAGCTCATTCTCAAACCTTTTCAAAGGCAATGCTGTTAATATTCACAGTCAAACATATTGAAGTTAAAATAGGAACACAGTTTGTACAACATCTGTATGATTAGAAATACCATATAAATACAGAAAACCCAATTTTGCAGTGCTCAAAACCAATGCAACCTGACACTGCTATCAGTAGTGCTATCAGTAACATAAATGATGAAATTGCATTTAACACTTCCAGGTACATTCAAGCCATACTTACCTCCAATACCTGCAAAGCACACAGAAAGCAGTCTCATAGCTGAGCAGCACAAAACGCTGTTCAAACAACTGAGACTACAATCATACAAAAATTTCTTTTGTGTGAAATGTGTACAATCAAATAGCTAGACAAAGCAGGCTTACAGCTTCATCAGTAAAATTTCACAACCCACATCTCTCTCATTTATACTGATTTTAGTCAGTGGTATAATAAATTGGTATGTTACAAATCCTCCTTAGAAACAAAAGCAGGCAATGGAAATTCCAGACTTCATCCTTTTAGTACATATATGCAACTTAGCAGCCTTCATTAAGAAAATGACAGAAAGCTGTACCTCAATAGCCACAAGAAATAGAGCCCTTATTCAAAGTCAATAAACCAGTGGAAAGGTTCCCATTGTTTTCCAGAGGCTCTGGATGAGGCTTTAAATCAAGGAATTGCGGACAACTAAGTTGAGAGACTATGTTTTTTCTGACTCTTTCACTGCATTTCAGTGCATTTTCTCACAATTATTTCATGGTGTTTTAGGCCAAGGGAAAAAAAAAAAAAAAAAGTAAAGTAGTTTAGTTTGTTCTAACTTTATTTCTGGCAGATCTTTTCATTCCCAAGGAAACTGCAGTGTGCCATCATCACTGCATTTTTGCTAGAGCTGTGATAAACCAAGGATGATAATTATACATTTGGCATGAAAATAAGGGATCCCAAGACCTCAAATCAATTCACACATGTTGAATGCAACCACAGTTCAGTAGACATGCTGACTTTACAATATAACCAGGCTTCTAGTTTCCTTCACTTTAATCATTATCTGATGTGTATAACAATTCCAGCTGCTTCATGTGGACACTATTTAAATACCAGACTGCTAGGGAGGTGGAAAGAATGTTTCCTTTTTACTCAAACTGGCATGCACATTTAAATTTGTGGAAGTAATGAGCTCAATATGGACAAGAATGATAAAAAAAATCACTGCTATTGCTAGTACAGAACTACTTTACAGGGTGAAAGAAAGCAAGAAAATCAACATCTATAAAGAGACAGAGAAAAAAGTCCTGAAATAAAAAGTTTTGAAGCAATTCCCACTTACAGTACACCACAACAAGCTAATAGGTTGCAAAGAAGAATTTTCAGGTCAGGCAGGCAAAATTTCACATTTCCTAACTATTAATTGCTACGTGAATCAGTAATTAACAACACGTGAAGACAACACTACCGTATGTTCCAGTGTATAGAATATTTCTGCTGACTTTCAAGCTGAAAGAAAAATTAATGCTCACCAGGTATAGCTGTTTAAATAAACTCAGTTGTTCAAAAATTCAAAATACCAGAAGAATTAAGATATTAGTTCCAACACAGATGGAAGGAGAAAGAACGTATCCTCAGATCTTGTAGATATTAAATACGTATTTCAGAATATGTATCTTAAAATCATATTTTTGGGGTAAATCTGTTAAGTCTAAAAGTAACCATCTGATGTATGTAAATGTATAAAGTGAGATTAAATAAAGACTTTTTGACAGTCGTCTTGTCTCTGGTAATACCTCCATATCCTTCTGGTAAGCCCTGGTAAGCTTCTGGATTTCATTTTCAGATTCTGCGGCACGTACTTTCTCCTCCTCCCAGCGCTGCTGCACATTCTGTAGTTCCATTTGTAAAGTTCCTATTAAAGCTGTTCTGTCTGCACACTCAGTATGCAGATGATTTAACTCTTTATTGGCATCGGCCAGCTTATCCCGTGCTTCCTGCAGAACAGAGGCACAGAACAGAAATGCTGGTAAGAACTTTGCTCCATGAAATGCCACATTACTCCAGAGCTCTGCAGCTGAAGGCTCTAGGCTCACATCTCCCTATCTGCATCTTGCTACTAACAGCCTTTTCAAAGTTGACATAACTGTGAACTGGACAACATCAGAAATGTATCTCTGAAAGTCAAAAGCACCACGGTATGACAAAATTTCCTTCTGAACTCAGAATCCAGTTTCTCTTTCCAAACGAGAATACAAAAATCACGAACATAAATTATCCTCAGCAGAGTGGACTGCTCTTAAAGACACTGAAAAGACACATTACTTTCCTAAGTTAATCTCTGATCCATTACAGTCACCTTGGTGGACAACATGAACAGCTACTGTGCACAATGTACTCTTTATGGTATGGAAAGATAATAACAATTTGAGGAGTCCCTTTGGAGGTGTGACCATGAAAACAAACTATTTAACAGAAATGGTTACAAGTACTTTCATGTTACCAAGACCAAACTCATAAACAAACAATTTTTTAAATTATGCCTTTTAGGGTCACAGATTGCTGACATGGAGTGAGTAAATACACGTGCTTGTCGTTCCTATAAGCACTGGACTTCTGGAACTGCCACAGGTTGTTAAAACACTGCTTTTCTTAAACGAAATGGAAGCACTGTTTATTTTCTATAAGACCATAGTTGATTATACAGAAAATATAAAAGACAATTCCTTAGACAACGTCAACTTTTCTTCTTAATGAGAATATTTAAAGATGAAAGCATTGGCAAATTTCTAACAAATATTTATTGAATTTTATTACCAATGACTTAAAGAAATTTTTGTACTGTATACAAAGCATGCTCATTTTTTTTTTTCAGGAAGAATACACATATCTATTGCAAAACATCAGGAAAAAATAAAGCACCTAAGATTTTAAAATAACTTATAACAGAAGAAGTAGTCTTATGTGTCCTCAACATAAATTAACTAGTAAAGAAAGAACCAATTAGAAGAGATCGTGTCCAAATATAAACTAATATAAGATTCAGTGTACGTTGCAGAAATATCTGCAACTAAACTGATCTGATAAAACAGAATGTCCCCAGCAAAAGAATCTGAGCAACATTGGGAGTAAAGACATTTTATTTTGGCAATAATATAATATACTATCAACTGGGAGATTGAATTTAACCACAACCCCAAGACTTCCTCAGTCCCTTGGCCACTGGTGTAACCAGACAGGAGTTCCACAAAAGTGGTATGTCAGCCAAAAACAGAAACAAAGAACAAACAAGCAAACAAACAAAAAAATATCCTAATTCAGAAAGTAAAGAGAAGAGTTATTAAGTTCTGAAGCATTTTTAGCAGTTCCCAGGTACATCTTACTATAAGCAACTTTGTACTGTGCATTAACTTGATACCTAATACCTATATTAACGTCTGATACAAAAATTGGAGAAGGACATCCTAAATAAAATGTTCTTTCATGCGTGCAGAGGTAATTAAATAATTCTTTTCATTTTAGATCTCTTCAGAAAGTAGATACAGTTAGTTAAGAAAAAAAATACTGACACTCATTTCAATATAAATCAATACTTTACAAATTATAAAAAAATATTTCAAATCATTTCAGAAGTGAAATGACTGGAATGCTCAGTTGCAGAGACTCAGGTTGTGACTAGGATAAGGCAGCATGACTTCAAACTAGCTTGCTAGGTAATTAGTCTGCTTAACAGAACACAAAGATATAGAGACTTATTCTGATAAAACAAAAAGATAACTTAAATCTAGAAGGATACTAATTGCAGAACTTTTAAATTCAATGTTAAGTTCATTAAACCATACCTTAAGGTCTTGACTTAAAACATACATCTTGTCTTTGGATATCTCAAGCTCTTTTGCTGTGTTTTCACACAAAGTGTTCATTTTCTTAAGCTGTGAAAAACATGAAGATCAAGAAGACTTTTAGAGAAAAGCAACATAGTAACTTTAATACAAAGGAAGAATTATTTATAATAAACTTCTTTTCAATTCCTTTGACGATATTTACGCTTTCTACAACCTAAATAATGTGCCATTAAAAAAGAACCAAAGCTATTTTACAGTTATTAAAGATAAATAGTAGTGGTTAAAATCCCAAACTGAGCTCAGTATTAACTTTCCCATCTCAAAACATCTGACAAAAAACAAAGACTCTGAAGTGTGCCTGAAATGTAATACATTTAGATTATGATTTAGGGAGTAGTTTCAGAAAACAAGTTTTCAAAGTCAGTGGCCTTCTGTGGAAGGTGTCCATGTAGAGAGTAGCCTCCACTTTTACTAAGGGCAGCATAGCACTCACACAACCTGAAGAAGTAGCAATGTTCTCAAGAGAGGTACGATAAGACGTAACCTATCTTAGAGGTAGGTCGTGACCAGCATGTATACCAGCTTCATTTTTCACTTTCAGAGACATCACTACAATCTGTGTTACAGAGTGGTTAATAATAAGTATGTCTGAAATTAAGCACCAAATACATAGCTACTATAGTAAAGGTTATTCCTCACAGCTGAGCACTCAAAAGCAACTCGAAAGTCAAATATCCCATTCGCAAAATTCACTAATTATTCTGGAGCCTATATTTTTGTTCCCTCTCAGGTAAGTAGACCTGGCAAAAAAAGTAAGGAAATAACTGCAGTACATTACAGAATGCAGTAATTTTATTGGTTTAGTAGCCCTTTCTCTCTTTCCAAACCTATTCTAACCTGTATACTATACAAAAAGTCAAAAGCTTATGTTCTGTCAAAACCAAAACGTGTACACCTTTCAGTCACACAACCAAAGTAGACCATTTAATCTAACATTTAGCACACTAAGCTAAATGTGACAAATGCCAAGTCTATCAGCAGATTACACATGTACACACATATGTAAATGTATATTAATAATTTCATCGATATACGTGATCATGTTGGAAGCCTCACTATAAAAATAACTGCTCCACAATTCTTCTAAACTAAACCCTAAGTGGTGTGTAATAAAACACCCTATTTTATTGCACAATGCCCTCTATCGTCCCTCTTAGTTTTACTGTATTATAGGGAACAGTTTTTTTACTAAACATATCCGACATGCAAGAAGCCAAAAGCACTGTTATCCGTGCAGGCAGGGACAATGAAAAAGGGCAGAGCTCTGCCCTTTCTGTGCACAATGAAGGTGCTCAGTGATCTCTGGCTCCGTATGACAACTTCAGGGTCAGTCACACGCAGTCCTACTGGGAAGTTTTGTGGCAGGTCATCAGTTGGTCCTGCTCTGCTTGTGATTTATTTTCCTTGACAGTTCATTCTTCTTTCTGTCAGAATACTCACTTTGCTTTCTTAGCAGCCACCCCCTTGGTCTCCCCACTGCTGTCTCTGGCACAGTTTCACAACAAAGCACATCACTAAGCCAAAGCCTGCTGAGTCGACTTTTCAACTGTGCTGCATATCACGTGACATTCCTCCTCCCAAATAACACTTCGCTGTGGGTAATATGTTCCTAGTTACTCTGCAGCTCCCAGACTTGGGTCTCAGAAGACTTTCATAATGACTATACACGCCAGTTCTCTTATCTCACTGGGAGAGACCTAACTGTGCTTGCTGTTTACTAAAGTGTAATTGTTTCCATGGTTACTTATTTTTGCACCCATTGAACAAACTCAACGGTTTTCCAGGCTGCTAGGCTTTTTCCAATAAGAGGGGTGAAGATGATACAGTTCTGTTTTCAACATTATGAAGGCACAGCAAGGCTGTGTATGTGTAAAGACAAAAGATGAAACTTAGGAATGAAAAATCACTACTGGCATTTTTACAGTCTTACTGCACTTTTATCATCCGTACTTGCTAACTTAATCCAAAGATAAGTTATTTACAATTTTGTACAAAAAAGCTTTAGAAGAGTGTATTTAACTTCTCTCTGCAACCTTTAAAGCCACAAATTCATAAAACATTTAAACCCAAGAGGATTAATTTAATTACATTAGCAATACAAATGAGAAAATAAATGCAAGATTGTGACTTTTCAGACAGTGAAATAAAAGGTCAGCAGAATTCTATCAAAAGCATTCCTTTTTTTTTTTTTTTTTATCAAAGATAAGACTCACAAAACTGAAATGTATCAATTGTCATCTTAGATATCCTAATGAAATTACTGCCAAGGTATCAAGTTTACTTGAAAAGACTGCTGGAAATCACCAAAAACGAGAGACTTCATAATAAACTCACTAATCTCAGCAAAGTATGCCACTTCCAAAATATACAACAGGGTGCATATTTGCATATCTGATATCAAAGACTGTTGAGGCTCAAGTGGCATTCACTGTTATTATGTAATACACAGCCCATCAAACTCTTACACTCTCTTTTAGCCGAAATTAGAGATTCAGAAGAACTATTTCCATGCCTGTTTATTAAAAATAATAAGCTCAACACATTAAAAAAAAAAAAAACACAAAAAAAAGGAAAAAAAAAGACACTCTTCTTCCCCTTCCTCCCAAATGTAAGTGAAACTTCACTGTAAGGCAAGCTTAGAGAAACAGTAGTGACAGAGACTATTTCTTTTAGTATATGTGAAGCTGTCAGCATTTCCTCTCTTCTGACCTTTGTTACAAGCAAAGCACATGTACTGCTGCAGGCCGAAGGCAATAGGTATAGAGCCAAACAGTGCAAGTGTTACCTCATTAGATGTGTCTTCCAGCTTGTTCTGGTAAGCTGTCAAGGTACACCTCAAAGTCTCAAGGACAGAGAGGCTTGAAGGTTTATCTTTGTCCTTATGAGAGCCTAAAGAAAAATACAGAATGAAAATTAAGCCCATAAAGCCATAAAGAAAAAACTACTCACACAGATGAGAGGTATTAAAATTAGTTAGGGTTTCAATTACAATACAAAACACTGAACAGCAGCCTTGTTGTCCACAGGAGATAAAACTGGATGGTCACACTTTCATAATAAATACAGCTGAAAGACATTTGTATAAAAGCTTTAATGCAAAACACAGAACTGTAAATTCTGAGTTATATTTTTACTTAATGTATTTGTTATGCAGTCTCACATACAAGTTCTACAGTGGTCAAATCTCTGTTATTCAGTCATACCAACCAGCATTAAAACCGCACAATAACACAGCCTGAAAAACATGTTGCCTGAAAGTTAAGAACATTACACTTTTCTTGACATCACTCCACTGTTGCTACTAAGCATGTAAATTATAATGTAGTACATCATTTACTCAAAGCTTTACTGAGCCAAAGATCACACAAGCGTTAAGCTTGGACAAATCTTAAAAACCTTTTAAATGATTTTCATTCCAAAGGAAAAAATAATATATATATATATATCATCTGTCTGCAGAGTCCTTCATAATGTTTCAATTATAAATCTTCACGTTGATACATCGCACAACTACACTTACTTATTCAACCTTTAGACAGAGAATTCTGATCTGGTGGCCTCAATTAGGACTTACAAACAAGTTTGAACATCCCAAAACCTGTAGTACAGTGTGCTAAGAAAGCAAAACAACACAGCTCTGATAAAGAGATGACATAACAGGATGTCAGCTGATATTAAAATTCTATGAACAAACTTCCCCATTTTTTACTGGCACTACAGCAAAACAGCAGATTATTGACAAATTCCTCTTCTTAGATTTGTTAATATTAATATGCAACACTTACAAACCTATTTTGTAACAGATAGTAATATATTTTCTTCAAGCTTTAAAGTTAAGGATGCACAGGTTACCCACTGTAGGAACATTTTGCAGTGATCCTAATGCACAGAAAAAAAAAAGAAAAAAAGTACTGTTCTTCCATACTTCTATCTCCAATGAATCTGTAATGCACAATTATCATCAATTTAAAATAATACCTATTAAGTCAATCTAGGGGTTGCCTCTCACTCTATTTTCAGTTAGCTCTTCAAATAATGTATCTGAAGTCCAAACCTGTAATGATATCCTTGAAACTTACTTTTCCACTACCTTAATTTATCCAAGGTGGCTCATAAAGTCAAACTGGGCACTGAACTCCAAGTTTTTTTCTTGTGTCAGTCACAGTCCTCCATAAAATTCTGTCAGTCAGAGAAGGTGTCCTTACAGATTTAAAAGTTGTTGGATACCTTTTTTTTTTAATTTTAAGAATACTATGGCTAGTGTTTCCAAATGATATATTACTCCATGTATTATACAAAAATGATTTATCCTGCAGATTACATATAACACACCATTGCTATCTACACATACATGCAAGTAAGAAAGCCAATGACCTTCCTGAAATTTTAATTATGGGCTTATTTCCCAGCCCTTTAACACAAAGAAGCATAGAATATGTCTGAGTACCATTCAGATGGAACACTAACATTTCCTTCTAGCCAGCCACTACTGTCAAAGTCACACCTCGAAAAACAAATCAAGATTTGTAAATTTTATTTCAGTCATGGGAGCAAGGTCTGCTCTAAAGCATAAAAGTGAATATAGAAAGAATGCATATCTCAAGCACAGAATGCTCCTCTGTAGTGTCAAGTACCTTCAGCAGACAGGTACTTACTGCAGCTTCTAAAGGTCTACAGAGTCAGGGAAAAGCCAGATCTTTTCAGTGGAAGTCCCTAAACCAAAACTGAGTTAACAAAATGTTAATTTAAAATCTACATGAAAACAAACATAAAATGTTTTGTCACCATAGCTAAAGCAAGGAATGCCCAGGACTCCAGTCCTGCTGTCTCAAGACTTCTTTCTATTACCCATTGTAGGAACATTTTGCACCAATACTACTGCACAGAGAAAAAAAGAAAAAAGAAAAAAAAGAGAAGTATTATTCTTCTATATTTCTCACTCCAAAGACGCTGTAATACACAATTATCATCAATTTAATACTCATTAATTCAGTCCAGGGGTTGTCTTCCAACACACATTTTTCAACAAGCTCTCCAAATAATTTATCTTCATTTCTGAAGCCCCAAACTGCAATGCCGTCCCTGAAACATGTCTCTGAACTGTCTTAATTTACATAATAGCTGCCAAGAACAGACTTTTGCCAGTAAACTTTCTATCCTGACATTCCTTGCCTTTACTGAAACCCCGTTTTTTGGCAGCTCAGCCTGCCAACAGAAATACCAGATTCTACCTTCCTCCATTAGCTGAAAGCAAGCCTACACTTCCAATACTGGCCAAAATTTGTCTGTTTCTATACAACTTTGCAAGAGACATGCAACATAATCCAAATGATATTATCTTACTGGCCTTCTTCAGCAATGAGGAATTAAAAAGCATTACTTGAAGCATTTGCCCAGTGAAATCTAAGAGTTTCAGGGAAGAATTTTGAGAAGATACCAGGTTCTATAGAATTCTGACAAGAGGTTAATAGGTGAGAATACTCTTACAGCCACTCCTTCAGACTTTCTACTGAGTCTAGAAGCTAACACTCCTACCTGTTCACAGTCAATTTACTTTCTTGTTTTCCCCAGATTAATTCAACTACTTTTTTTTTTCTTTCCCTGAAATTAAGACAAACTTCACCAAGCACAAGTCCTACGGTTGAATAATTACAATACATAACAAACTGAACAGGGACAAACTGTTATCATGCAAACTGGCCAGCAAGAGTAACAACACTGAAGAATGCTTATGAAGGTTATTTGAAAAGAGGAAGATGTAGGCTAATACTTCTTCTTTTGGGAATAAAAACGGAAAAGATAACTTTTTAAAATACTTTTTTCTTAATCTAACAAATATAAAGTCTCCTTTTCCTGTGTAGCTCAAAAAGCATCACAACTATCTGCGCTAAATGGTGAGACTGAACTCTTAATATTGACAGATTTTTAAGTAAAACTTTCAACCACTTGAGATGGAAGCTTAAAAAATGCAACAGAAAGAAGGAATTCCCAACAAACTGCTCATGTAGCACTAATTTCCCACTTCTGCCAACTGGACTATAGCAATTTATTGAAGATTTTCACTTTTACTGACAAGGCATTCTCATTTAAAATAGGACTTTTTTTTTAAATGAAATGAATTGTTACTTAATACATTCGTAAGTACAACACATTAGGGTAATAGTGTTAAAAATGCTTGCTAAAAATTTCACACCCTGAAGCGCAGCAAAACTGTAGAACAAATAGTCTAGTCAACAGTTCTCTTTAAATAAGCTCTTTCAAAGTTTACTCGAAACAACAAAGCAAATTAATATTGAAATTACCAAATCACGGTTAAGAGAGATCAAAACCGTTGTTTGGAAGGTTTATCACATGGGTGAGCAGAAAACCTACCCAGAAGACAATTACTGCTTTGGAACTATGCATTGGCTGCAGCATCCAGCTCCCTCCAGAACTGCAGAATCCCTTCTAGGCATGTGGAACTTTGCAAGAATGAGGAAAACAAAGTTTTGAAGAGCTTTTCAGTCTGACATATCTATGGTAAACCTACAGAACCTATAGGTATTACCCACAGGAATTACATTTGTAATTACAGAATAAATCTGTATCCAGTTTCCAAATGAAAGTTTTATAGACGATATGATGAAAGCAATTTATCACAAATGCAAGGCTAGGTCTTTGAGGATGAAAAGTCTTAGGTTTCTCTATTCCATTCTAACAGTACCATTCTAAGTTCTAAAAAAGATGCTTATATATATGTATATACACACATCCATCCTCAGATGTGCTACATCACCTTTTACACCTATTGCTGCTCAACAGTGCAGAAATCTATCATCACAATTTAAATAAAATAAATTCATTTGCCCTTTATGCAACTTTTTATCTATTTTGTCTTTTTTTTCCTAGTTTATTTGCTCCGGCAGTTGGAAGTTTTTCATGTCTAGCAGGAATTATATACATAAAATTATTTTTAGATAATTTAAAATAGAAAAAGTGTACAATTTCACTTAAAGAAATTAACACCTTCCACATTAAAATACAATTTCCTAGCCACCATTTTGAATGTTTAAGCACATGGCAGTTTGCTGACTGACAAACATTAACTTAAAATTCATTTAATGAGAACAGAAAAATATTTTTTGTTTTATATTAATCAAATGAACGCAAGACAATATTAGTGCAGAATCAACAATAAAAAGTATTGTGCTGTATCATGTGTCCTACACAACCTTTTTGAATATATGACCTTTATGTTGCTGAAGGTTGCCTCTGAATTTGGCTCAGTTCAGGCAAAACATCTGTTCCCTTTGCAGGTATACTGTAAGGACTTTTTTCTCAGTTGGATTTAGAGCACAGCAAGTGAGCCCTTTTCTGACCGATCACATATACCCCAGCATTTGTAAATCAAGCTCTGGGCTGACAACAGCAAGTCCACATTCCGTCACCCTTTCTCAGCTAGCAAGGCCATCTGACTGCTGTGAGAACTGCTCTTATCATGTCATCAAATCAAAGCATGTTGAGAAGAGGGAATGCAAGAGGCATCTGCAGAATTCCCACAATGTAGTGACTTTGGAACATTGACAGATGCATCTGTCATTTTATACCTTCAACTAACCTGCTGTCCGCTGGCCTGACATAGCAAAGCTGTCCAAGAGTAACTTCAGCTCCATCATGTTGTTTTCGTATGTCTCTGTTACAAAGACCTGGTGTTTCTTGGCCTTTATTTGACAGGAGATGCAAACAAGAGGGGAAAAAAGAAATCCATTATAATAGCAAAAGCATAAGCAGTACAGATCACAATATTCTTGTTGCCAATGAAATTTAAATTCATATTATATTTGTCACTCCTTTTCTTAAGTCAAGAGAGCTAATATCACCACAAATAATAACAGAGTTTTACGGAACCTTGAAATCTATTTAAAATAGAAGTATAAGCTCCAAATAGTGAAAACAAAAATAAAAAAATGATTGTATTTAAAACTAGTCTTAATCTTCTGCTGCCTTAAAAATATCCTAATGACTGCTAATTAACCGCTGTCCAACAATGAAAGCAATGAAATCTACCGCTATAACCTACAAGGACATCCAGAAAGACAACAAACTACTGGCAGACAGGCTAGAAATTCATTATTTGGCGCTCTGTCAAATCCCACACCTATTCTCATTGCAAATCTGTCTACTTCAGTTGTTAGTATCTTTCATGCTCGATAGTGATTTCTTCAGTCTCAAAAACTCTTCCTTATGGATGGAATATGAAGCAGCAGAGGTCATCAGTTTCTAGCTCTGAATTTTCTTAAAGAAAGCTTTGAAACTTGTACATTGTTCTTCAAACTAAGATACTGGATTTCCATTAAGTTTAACTGTACTATAGAGGAGTTTTTAATCAACACAATTTAAAGACTAACAAATCATTCTTTAGGTTTATATTTGATTTTAAAACGCAGCCTTCAAAGATTGTTATTACAGATGCATCCACAATTCTAGGCAAGACTAGCATCCTGTTGAGCGTACACGGTTTTGATTTCTCAACAAAATGCGTAATTTTAGAAGACTGTCTGTCCCACAGACATGATGTGATATATCTCAGGAGATTTTTAAAAAAAGAGGAAATTAGACTTAAATAATTGTTCATAATTAATTTCAGAATTTCATAATTCCGTAATGACAAAGATTAAGTTCAAAGACGTCTCACCACTCGTAATTATTATTTTATAAACTCTTAGAGCCCATTTTAGTAATTTCTACTTCTATGCGATTACAAAAGATCATCCTCCTTGTAGTGAGAAAAATCCTACCGTTTTCTACAATATCTATAAACTATTGCTTTAGTTATGCTTCACTGCACATGTAAAGACCCCATCAATTTCTTAAGTATGGAAAACATCCTTCCTCAGAGAACTGCAACATACTGATAGTATATAACTGGCAGGCAAAAAAAAAAAGAAAAAAAAAAAAAGACATGTATTTAATTCTCTGCAGTGTTCTTCACTACTGAGTTTAAATATTTCATAAATTTGCTTTACTCTTTCAATTTTAATTATATGTACTGTATATCAACTAATATATTATTCATATGTGTATTTCAATGTTAGGTTCCCTGTAGCATTTACACGCCTTTCCTTATGTGAGAATTTGTACTAGTGTTCAAAAAAAATTTCCAAACCACTTCCATATATTTAAAAAGTGAGGCTTTAATTCTTACTCTATAGAATTCTGTATGTAGAATGAGCTTGAATTTGCTAAAATCCAGTAAAAATAGTTTATAGGATGTGAATATATTAAATCCATTTACTCTCACACACTGATAACATCTGAAAGACTCACATGTTACAAATAAGATAATGTAACAACATGATCAGTATCATAATGAAATAAATATTCGTTTTACATGAACCACCACAGCACAGACAAGGTCAAACTCAGCCTTCCCAGAAAAAAAATCCTTTCCCATGGAAAAGTCAAACGCGAGAGTTCTTTTATTTTGTTTTGTTTTGTTTTTTCTTTTTCATTTTGGTTAACTTACCACAATTTAGGTAGAATATTGCAGTTTATTTAGTCTTCACTGCTTCTTTGTGCTTTATTTGTTAACTGCATTCATACTCTGTATGCCAATTTCAGTCTTTTACACCAGAACAAAGATCAAAGGGAAATCCTCAGACTAGCCAGTTTCTCCACACTTCAGCTGCAAAGAATTCAGTATACTTCCTACATCCCATTTTCACTCTCTTCCATTACTAGAAACTAAGAAAAATATTGTGAACTACAGTGTTGGAAATCCAGACACTGGTTAGGAGTCCAAAAAGGTCTGAACATATTGATCTAATCTCTTAAGTCCCACTGACAGGAACCTAGTAAGAATGCACAGAGTCATAAAATCATGGAATAATTTAAGCTGACAGGGTCTCCGGAGGTCGTCCAGTCCTTCTCCCCACTCAAAGCAGGGCCATGCTTGAAGTAAGGTTATGCTGTTCGGAGCAATGTCCAGGAAAGTTGTGAGTGTCCTCAAGGATGGAGATTCGACAACCCCTGCAGGCAATCTGTTTAAGTACATCAGAATCCTTGCTGAAGTTGTTTTTTTTGACTCCTCAGAGGTAATTAGAATTTCCCTTCCTAAAACTTCCGCTTCCTCCCACACTTGGCACGGCCCACTCCTAAAGAGAGTGGAATTCTCTATTCTACACAAGTTTCCATGCGATGGCATTCATGGCAGTAGCTGTAACTCCCTTAGATTTCCTTTCTTCAAGTGTGTCAAACACAGTGAGCATACATAACTCTACTTTGAAAAGGAAAATAGAGTCCACTAGAGTACACAAGTCAAACACAATCAATTGTAGCTGCTGAATAAAATGGCAGCTCCAATTCCAGAAGATGAGATTACTTCTCTGCTAGAACCTCCATCCATCACCCCATTTACATTACAAGATGTCATTCCTGTGTGAATGTTTCCTAGATTACCTCAAAAGGTAAATCAAATGACAGCTTGTTTCACAGCCCACTTCAATAGAAAGAGGTGAAAGAGCACTCACAAAATGTGTGCTTTTTGCTGACTTTGCTCGACTATACGATCATTTAGGTCAACCATTCTTCAGGTTGGAGATGATCCTTGAAAATAATCCTTTTAAAATCAAAGGCAACTGAAGACCTGTAAGGATGAACAAGGACCTCCTGACTACATTCAGACATACAAAGAGAGCACACAGGACGTGGAAGGAGAGACAGGTGACCTGGAAGGAAGATAGAGACACTGTCAAAGCGTAGAGGGATGAACTTAGGAAAGCCAAAATCTACCCAGAATTTAATCTACAAAGACAGTAGTAAACGTGCCTTCAAGTACATCAACAGTAAAAGGAAGAGTAGGCAAAACATGGCCCTGCTGCTTAAGTGGGAAAGGGATCTGATGATGAGGGCACAGAAAAGGCTTCCAAAATACCATCTTCACCACTGTCTTTAATGCTAAGTCTTGCCTTCATGAATCCCAGCTTCCTAAGACCAGTGGTAAACTCTGGACCAATAAGACTTAACCTCAGAAGGGGAAGACAAGGTTAAGAAACATCTGAACAATGATGGGATGCTCTCAGAAGTTCTGAGCTAGCAGGCCAACGTCATTGTCAAGCCACTCTAAATTCTTCAGAACACCATAGTGTACATACAGCAGAGTAGGATCCTGTCATGCAGTCTCTGGACATTATTCCAAGATTGATATTATCAGGAGTACTGTCTGCTTTATTTGCAGTTAGTTACAGGGATTTCTTATGCAATCCCGAAGTTTGCAAGAAAGCAAAGGACAAAAAAGATATGTGAGTAACTTAAGGTCAGCTGGTTTCACACTAATTCTTGAAAAACTGATGGAACAAATAATCCTGTAACCCAGTTTTGAATACATGAAGGGCAAAAAGGTGATCAGAAATATTAGAAAGTGGAATACTCACTTCGGTAATATGACAGCCTTTGACAATGAGCCATCTGTCTTGAAGGCAGAAAGGAGAGAGCAATTAAAGTTGTTTATCTTGACTTTCATAAGTCTTTATAGACACTGCCTCCCATAACATCCTCACAAGCAAACTATTTAAGTGGAGAGCGAGGTAGATTTAAAACTGGCTGAACTGTGGGACAACTGTGGAGGGCTGTAAGCAGCAGCATAAAGCCAATGGGGTCAGAATCCTAGCAGATGTTTAACATCTTCATTGATGACTGGGATAATTGTCAGAGAGCTCTCTCAGTAAGTTTTCAGGTAGAAAACTCAAAGGATTGACTGATTCACCAGATAGGTTGCACTACCCTTCAGAAAGACCTGAAAATAGTTGAGGAATGGGCCAACAGGAACTTCAGGAAGTTCAAAATCAAGAATTGCAAAGTCTTGCATCTGAGAAAGAATAAAGTCATGTAGGAGTTCAAGTAACTTGTAGAAAAAAGGAACTAAAATGCCATGAAACCGACAATGAAACAGCAATGTATGTTGAGGACAGAAAGTCAGTGATATCCTGGTCTATATTAGCAGCAGGTCAAGGATGGTGATGTTTCACATTCCGCTCAGTACTGCTAAGACACATCTGCAGTGCTGGATCCAGTTCTGGGCCCCTCAGTACAAGAGAGACATAGATTTATTGAAGTAAGTCTAACAAAGGGCCAAAGCTGATTAAATAAATCTGTTATATGAGGAGAAGCTGAGAGAGCTGGGGCTATTTAGCCTAAAGAAGAAAAGGCGCAGGGGAATTCAAGCAATGTCACTAAGTACCTGGCAAGAGCAAGTGAAGAGGGAGACAGACACTTCTTTGTGGTGCTCAGACACAGGACAAGAACCAATGAACATCAACTAAAATACAAGGAATTTCATATAAAACAAGAATAAAACATTTTTACTGTGACAATGGTCAAACACTAGAACACGCTGCCCAAAGACACTGTGGAGTTTCTATTCTTGTAGATATTCAAAATCCACCTGGACACCATCCTGAGCAGCCTGATTCACTCGACCCTGATCTGAACACTGAGTGCATTAGACAATCTCCAAAGGTGCATGCCAGCAACAATGACTCTGCAACTTTGTGTGATTATTCTGAAGGGAAGGTACCCTCAGGAAGAGATAAAAAGATAGTCTAGTTAGAGAAAATACCGTTTCCACTATCATATCTGATTTAAAGAAGCCTAATTACACTCAAAAAAAACACCCTAGAATTGGAAATTTTCCAAGCACATTAGAAGTATTTCCTCGTCCTCA